TAGCCCAACTGAGAAGCACATATGATATCAGGAATAAAAAGTGAGTAAAATAATGGTTAGTTCACCAATGGAGAATAAATATGTGATTTAAAACAGTCTGAAGAAACTTGCAAACCCTAAGAAACTAGCCAAAAACTTTCTCTAGACTGCAAAATAATTGCAAATAGTTAAGAAATCCTCATTATTTACTAAAGCATCACTGTTTGAACCTAGGATACTTTTCAAACCTTTAAACATTTACAGGTCTCCTTGCAAGGCAAGTAAAGCACAAACTAGGACCATTCACTCCTTTAAAGAAGGGTCAAATATACCAAATGATAGAATTCATATTTGCAGACACAGGCATGAAATTCAGAAACTGAAAGCAAATATAGGTCAGTGTGGGCATCAAGTCAAATACAACAGGTTAGAGTTGTTGAACTTTCTGTCTTTTCTCCTAGGATTTAACCAAATGATTGCCCATATTTCTGGGACAGAAAGAGCCTTGAAAAAATAGTGATGGATAGCAAATTTTGTCTTTGGTGCTTATGCATTAATTTTATTGATACCCCTAGAATCCTTCCACAATTTCATGAGGACTCACTCCTGTTAACAGATACCTGTTAACTAATGAATAAGTTTTTAGCATCAGAACATTATTTACTTATTTTAATATAGGATTTGGAGAAACAAACTCTCAGACCATACCTTGCCCACATTCCTTGTTCTCTGCCTTGTTCCTTGTTCTCTGACCAGCTTAGACATTGACACCAGAGTCTACTCTGATTAACATAGCTATGTGGTCATGGTGATGGGGGCATGAAAAACTGAGTAATGGGCCAGAGGGAGCCTAATCCAAGGAAATACCCAAGGTCTGGCTTTTCACTGTCCTTCTTTACCAGCTGACTTGGCTCCAAACTCTGTGGCTGGTGGGTCCAGGAGCTCTAAGATTATTAATGACCTATTTCTTAGACTATCTCTTATACATTTAAAAGCGTACCACTTAATTAAGCTTCCTGAGGGCAGAAATATGCCTTAACAGTATCCACCATAAGCCTGAAATATAATATATGGTGTGTACATATTTGAATTATAATAGCTTAGATCTTCTAGATGACCAGTTCACAAGTACATTAATGGTCACCATATGTGTATAATCCTACTAAGTATTTACATTAAAATACTGGAGAAATTATGATTTACCTGCTTGGGCAATTATAACCATCATCTGCATTCATCAGATGAGTGGAGTAAAGCTCAGAGACATAAGGTATTTTACATAAAGTCACATTGCTAAGACATGGTGAAATACTATAGTAGAGCTATTTCTAGCAGCAAGATCTGTCCAGATGACCCTATAAATGAAGTTTCAAAAAATGAAGTTCTGAAGATCTATGAAAAGGGTTGCCAAATAAAATGTAACATGTTCAATTAAATTTAAATTTCAGAAAACAAAATAGTGTTTTACTATACATATGTCCCAAATACTGCAGGAAACATACTTATCCTAAAAATTATTTTTGTTTATCGAAATTTAAAACCTAACTTGAATCCTGTATTTTTATTTACAAAATCTGGCAGTCCTACCCATTCATGACCCATTCATATTGCCATATATTTTGCCTGTACATTCATTGATATCATGAAAAACTCTCAGAAGAATTTTGATAACAAATCAGTACATATTGAAAAGTAAAATCTACTTGCCAAGGATCATGCTGAAATAGAAGATATAAAAGACAAAGTCCTCTACTTTCAAAAAGGTTAGTAATCAGGTCATGCAGACAAAAACACCCCCGAGGAAGTAACAGTGAATAATGAGACAATGAGCTAGTAAATACTAGACTGTGAGTTAAGAAGGGAGGAAAATCAAAACAGCATGGACTAGCCAGAGAATACATAATCAAGGGAGTGGAGAGGATTAGTAGTCTGAAATAATCCTGCCTGGGAAGAGTATTATTCTAAATTATATCTGATTCTTCCACATCTGAAGCATGGTAGATGTCAATAAATTTTAGTACCTGTTGTTGAATGTGTGCAGTAGAAACCCAAACTCTTTCCTAAGCAGAGGGAGCAACAAAAATGTAGCCATAAAGAAAATAATAATGAGGGGCACCTGGGTGGCTCAGTCCTTAAGCGTCTGCCTTCGGCTCAGGTCATGATCCAGGGTCCTGGGATCGAGCCCCACATCGGGCTCCCTGCTCAGCGGGAAGCCTGCTTCTCCCTCTCCCACTCCACCTGCTTGTGTTCCCTCTCTCGCTGTCTCTCTCTGTCAAATAAATAAATAAAATCTTTAAAAAAAAAAAAGAAAATAATAATGATAGTGATGTGAAGATAGTGACGTGAAGGTAAGAGGACAACTTTGAATGAACTAGAGCGGGTGTTGTCAAAATGTGGTTCCCGGATAGCAGTATCAACATCACGTAGGAATTTCTTAGAAATGCAGATTCTCTAGCTTCACTCAAAAAATACTGAACCAGAGTAATTTATTATTTTAATAAGTCCTTGGTGATTCTGATGTATAGTAACATTTAATAACCACTGAAGTAGAGTTGGCGAAGGCATCTTTCTTTTTCTATCAACCAGGACAAGCAGCTTGGGTAAGACTGTGTCTACACTACAAAAAGTTAATCTCCAATATCAACTATGAACCTGACAGATATAAAGACAATATCCAGACAATGAATTGTCTAAAGCCTCTGATTTCTTCTTAGAATCATTCGAAGTCCCAGCTAGGTAGGAGATCAATCTTTAAGATAAGTAGGTCAAAATTCTTCAACAGACTCTAATATTTAGAAATCTGCTCCTAGAGGCGTTAACTCCCACTATCAAGAATCCAAAGTAATCGTTTTATTCTTACAGCAGTTACTCACTTGGCCTACTGTTATTAAAATAGCATGATATTATTTTTTTCTGGTAAATCCCATTCCATTTAACTAAAATGTAATGCAGAAGGTTTTTAGAAAGTTTCTGGTAAATGTTATGATTTTCAAATAGAGTTTGAGAATAAAACAGCTCAAGGGGTTATTTGACAGTAAATGTAGAGTTTTAGTCCAGGTAGTTGTGAATAATAATAATAGGTAGTATTTATTGAATGATTTTTGTAAATCAGATTCTCTTTGAAGGCCCATATATGTATAGACTTTTTTTTTAAGATTTTATTTATAGATTTGTCAGAGAGAGAGCACAAGCAGGGGGAGCGGCAGGCAGAGGGAGAAGCAGGCTCTTTGCCAAGCAAAGAGCCCAATGCAGGACTCGATCCCAGGGCCCCGGGATCATGACCTGAGCCAAAGGCAGATGCTTAACCGACTGAACCACCCAGGCGTCCCTCTATAGTCTTAATTAATCTTCACAAAAACCTTATGTGGTTTCATTCCCATTTTTATATGAAAAACTGAGGCATCTAGAAGTTACGTAGTTTGCTAAATTCATGAAACTGCTGAGGGAGAGCAATGTTTACAATTTAGACAGTCTGCCTGTGGAGTCTAAGCTCTTAACCATGACATTGACCTACTTGCCGTGTTTGAGCAAAAGCTCATGATTAAGAAGCAACAATTCTGTGGGATCATTTGATAAATATTAACTAGCTTATAAAAAGGAATTTGCTTCTCAAAGGAAAAACATCATTGTGATATAACGTAGGCAATGGAATATCAATTGAAATTTGAGAAAATTTTGAAATTCACTATCAAAATTAGTATTAAAAGGAGATAAATTTTTAATGTAAAGAAAGCAACATTTGGGATGGTGTAATTATAGTAACTACCTTTTTTAAAATTTTGAAACATTCTATTTAAATTAATTTTCAAAATATCAAAATGTTATAAATTGGAATTGTTTATGATAGCAATCTTTTTATATCAAGTTACACATACACACATATGTACATATAAATATATATACTTATACATATAAAAACATAGTTTTTCTATCCCAGATGGTATTAAGTATAAATGAGGCTATTTTTATTGTTCAGAGTTAGAATTATAAGTATTTGTTCCAGTGCCATAAGATATTATAGAAATTGGCAAATAGGCATATTTGTCCAATAACAAGCAGTATCTTGCTCATAGTTAGTTCTCTGTATATATTAGAAATAACATTGGAGAAGTGGATTGGGTGCTGTTGTGAATATTAAAAAATTTGAATTTTATTTGACATATAATGAGATTTAGAGTTTTTATTTTTAATCAGGAGATATATAATAAGGGATGACTTTCAGGAAGTACAGTGTGTAAGATGGATGGAAAAGGAAAAAATAGACACAGAAATGTATTGTGAGATTATTAAAATTGTCCAGGTGAGAGGTAATCGAGGTTTATTTTTTTTTAAGATTTTTTTTTTATTTGAGAGAGAGAGAGCGCATGAGCAGGGAGAGGAACAGAGGGAGAATCGGCTCCCCACTGAGCAGGGAGCCTGACTGCGGGCTTGATCCCAGACCCCAGGACCCAGGCATCATCAGTACCTGAGCCAAAGGCAGCTGCTTAACTGACTGAACCACCCAGGCACCCCGGTAATGGGAGGTTTAAATTAGAGTATTTCAAAAGGAATTTAAAGAAGCAGTCAGAAACAATGGATATTTCAGTCTTAGAATCAATAGCAGGTGAGAATGAGAGAGAGGGAGAAGCCGGGTTGATTGTGAGCCTTTGAGTGATAGGTGGAAACAGTGGTACCATTAATAAGAAACACTGAAATAAGGTCTCTACACCACCCCCATCATGACAGTCACTACTGAGACAACTATTTCCACTTCAGAAATGACAGGGTGAGATGAGGTTCCTCTGAGGTCCCTTCCAGCTCTAAAATTCTGTATCATTATTATAAAAATAGACTTGAAATTAGAAGTAACTGAGGCAAGCTACCAGAAATATAATGAATGCATAGACATAGGCTTAGTAATAGATTGTAAAATGTCCCTCTGTCAAGGGACATTGCATTTATAAGCATGCACATACAGAAAATAATGCTAAATATGACATAATTGAATCAACTCTAGTTCTTGTGTGTTTCTTTTTTTTCAGCAATTTGATGACCCCTAATTTGCTGACAACAGCTGTATCACTTTCATGTTACCAGCATGGATAATTGTGTAAGTTTTAACGTTTGTATTTGAGTTACAACCTCCAGAATCTCAGCTGACAGTCATCCTAAAGAAATGAATAAAAATACTAAAGTAGCAACCCCTAGCTCCTACTACATGGCAATAAAAGATTCTTAATCTCAGGAAACAAACTGAGGGTTACTGGAGTAGAGGGGGGTGGGAGGAATGGGGTGGCTGGGTGATAGACATTGGGGAGGGTATGTGCTATGGTGAGCGCTGTGAACTGTGTAAGACTGATGAATCACAGACCTGTACCCCTGAAACAAGTAATACATTATGTTAATTAAAAAAAAACTTTTTTTCAATTTCCTTGAAGAATAGCTTAAATGAACTCTTTCCTTTGCACATCTGTTGGGCAATGTGGTCTTTAAAATCAGTGACTCAAATAATGAATATATTTCAGAGAAAAGAATCTGGCTGAAACTCAAGATGTACCAAAGGATTGTTCTTTCCTTATAATTTGGTGTCCTGCTGCTTGACTTTCTAAACTCACTTCAAAATTTGCATAATTTTGTGAAGAGAAAGTGATAACTTTGGAGAACACACACATTTTCTTCAGCAGTATAAAATGAAATCCCGGGTTATGAGGCCAGGCTTTACAGAGGGTCACCAGTTATCACCTTGGTTCTATGACTGTAATTTTCTCCTTTCAAAACAACTCTAGTACTCCTGCTAGAGCAAGTTTTCTTTTACTACATGACTCCGTGGCCCAAGATTTCCAAGCTCTGTTTTCATACAAATCTTTATCAGACTCCTAGTTGGCCTTCAGTGTCCCCCACTATCTAATTGTACTCAAATTATGCAAATGTATCTTACTTTGATTTTGATCCACTTTCCAGTATAACCCCTTCCCCCCCGCCCCCGCCCACAGTAGGCCACTCTCTACTGCTTGTGCCTTTCTTTTATGTTCCTCCCTCTGTCTAGAATGACTCCTTCTCTACTTCTCCTACCTACATCCTCCAGTTTTAAAGGCACTGTTTCAGCATTTTGCTTCTTTCATTCCAACTAGATTTTTTCTCCACAACAATAGAAAATATATCATCTTCTCTAATAATTTGAGTTAGTACTTGCCAACTGATGGAGAATTATTATGGTGCATTTACTGATTTTCTTAAAAACTCCCACCTGTGGTCATGGTAACTGAGTGCAGTAGCCAAAGTATATGTATGCATATGTGTATTTGATAGGTCGTTTTAAATAATAGTCAGTAGTCATTACAGTATTTAAATAATAGTCATAATTCATGTTCAGCCAACACTTAGTACCTACTGTGTTTTAAACATTGTAATTGTAAATTACAAATTTACATTGTAAATATAATGCTATAAAATAAACCACCAGAAAAATCTCAGTGATATATAATAATAACCATTTATTTCTCTGTCACATGTCTGCACGTCATCTCAGGTTCAGCTGATCTAGGTTAGGCTTAACTGGGTTTAACGCCTAGCTCTGATTCTATTCTAGGCCTACTTCAAATATCACTCATCCTTGGATTAGGGGCAATACAAGGTAGTTCTGATGGCAAAATGTAAGAGAAGAGCACAAGGTCAACCCTACATACACATTTCAAAAGTCTACTCATGTCTTACCTTTAATATTATGTTGGTCAAAGCAAGTGATATGACTGAGCACCAATTCTTGGGGAGACCATGGCACAGTGTGAGGGTGAGCATGTACCTAACTCCTACAGTGGACTGGTAAATTGAGAACAATAATTTCATCTGTCACAACAGAGCAGACATACAAAGCTGGCTTATAGTCAGTCCCGCTGCCCTGTAGTTTATAGTCACTTTAGGGAGACAAAGTTAAAAGGTGATTAAAATACAGTAATACAAATGAAACATGAAATCGTTTCCACACTGGTCTAAGATGGTATATCAAACCACTATTTGTCAGGAAGGTATAGATTAGGTACTGGCTGATATCAAGGTTACATGGCAGTGGGACTCAGGCTAGGCAATCATGGGAAGTAAGGAGGTGATAAGTAGCAATAATTAGCAAAAAGAATATTTAGAGTGAAAAAGTTATCTCAGACACTATTTTTGTTTTTACCACTTTTCTATGTATCAGTGAAATAGAAAAATGTTAAGGTGCCTAAATCTCAGTTGTGTGTGCAGTAAGAACCTTCAGCAAAATCAGTCCGTGAGATATGAAAGTAAAGTAAATCCCTGGAAATAAACTACTTGATGTTAGAAATTTTTTAATATGTGTTTTCTCTTCCCAGTAACTCTGTACATAGCCGTCACATGACATTAAATTGCTACATGATGATCATACAAACCCACCCAAATGTAGGAAAAGTTCTGATATGGTCAGTGCCAGAGTAGAGTTATCAGGAATATGAAATGACAACACCATGCTGAGTAAAACTTTTAGAATTAAGAAGGATTTATAAATGAAAAAAATAACCTTCCATTTCTCTTTAAAATATTTTTCTTTATGTATGTTTTCATTTCTTTGGCAAGCACTCAGTTGTTGGGTCTGAGAGTTTCCCGGAGGAGAAGTCCAAGAAAAGGCTAAATTCAGTTTGGCAGCATTAGAAAGGAGTCTTGTCAATCACTTTCTTGTCTTAAAGTGAAGAATGAGGGAAGATCAAAGAAAGAGGCAAGTTTAAGAGTGAATCTAAAAAAAAAAAAATTGCTCAATAGGTCACTCTGTTCTCTACTACCTCTTGGTTTAATTTACAAATAATGAGTCATCTTGACTCATTAATTATTCACTCCATTCACCAGGATCAGAATGTGAGCTTGAAGTCCCAAACAGTATTAAGACACATTCTTTGTGATTAATATAATCATGGGCTGCCATAAAGGGACACAGAATCATGTTTTCAGCGATGTATCATGCAAAGTATTAAAGTAAGGAATGACAGAGATTCTGGTACCTGGAGTTAAAAAAGAGTAATTCTACTCTGGAGCTCCATAAGCCAAGATACAGTGTAACTTTCTCTTCCTTAGTCCACCCTAAATCTAACACAAATTTCTCTACCCCATCATAGCTATACATCCCAAGTTTCTGTTCAAAATAAGCTCAGCATAAAATGTATATGAAGTACATTTATACCTCAGAGCATGGCTATTTAAGGCAAGTTCTTGTTAAGTGCAAGAGAATGGGGTGAATTGGCAGGGGTTGGAAATTGGAAACACACATACACATGGAGGAGAACATGGCACTGGGAGCTAGACAAGGCTGAAGGTGTAGGGAGAATCACAGCACAAGGAGCAATTTAAAAATCACAAGGGTTTGGTCACAAATAAGAGATCTACAAAAGGGAGTGGTATGTCTAGACATCTAATCAGATCTCAGAATCTTGACCATTCAAGATGGAGATAAGCAGTTAGGATTTGGAAATTTTAAGCAGTTCTTGGGGCAGCAACCATCAGAAACTGGATACTAAAGAGAAATTTGGGTGCTATATAAAGACATAACCGCAAGCATTTGAGACAAAAAAAAAGCTGTTATAACAACTAGAGCATGAGCTGAAGTTCAAGTTACAAGAACGAGGCAAGGCATGGTAATCAGTACTTAGGTACTCACAAGCAGAGGCAACTGATGAATAAAAGGTGGCAATGTTCAATTCTTTAGAATTAGGTTGAAGAGGGCTTAACCACCTCAGTACTGGCCTAGACGGGGTTTAGGCTAAACTTTCAGATAAGCATCAAGAAACATTAGTTATAGGTAAAGAAAATAAACAAGAAAATTTGGGAACATCCAATATATTCTAAGACACTAGGGTTGATTGTTTCATATTTGTTGAGTAGTAAACTGGTCTTAATGAAAATTTCCCTGTTCTCAATCCCTGAGACAATTCCTAATCCTAAACTAGCATAGCTAGTTCAAAAGTGCCTTTTTTGCAAAGCCGATAGAATCTCAGCCTCTGGCCCTAATATTAGGAAAATAAATTAATACAATCTATATGAGACAATATTGTGGTCTACAATTAATAAATGAGGATTTGCAATAGTGAACTTCACTTTTAAGATAACTCTTAATACAAAATTAAAAACAACCCCCCAAAAGCAAGATGTTGGGTTTGCATATTTAGATAACCTTATTTTTTCTTATAAAAGAAAGGTTTATACCTAGAAAATTAAATTACTTCTCTGAGGTGAAAATGCCAGTCTCATTCATTTTAATCACATGCTTTAACTTTCACACAAATTCAAATATTAGGTGCCTACGTTATAATGTCTCACAGTGTTAATAGAGCTGCCTTGTGATTTGTGAGCTTATGAATCCTCCAGAGAGGATGTAATGATGATGATGACAATGATGAAATAATAATAATAATAATAATGCCAGTTACCATTTGTTGAACACAGAAATTATACTAAGTAAATTCATCTATTATTATATTTCATATTGATAATTTAGGTATTATTATTACTACATTTTATGGATCAGGAAATGAGCTCAAAGAACCTAGGTGATTTCCATGACATGTCACAGCAAGTAAATGGAAGTTGTTTTGAAAATTTAGGCCCAACCCTGAGATGCTGGGCTTCTAGGGTCAGAGGAGTGAGATCCTAAGAAAGGCTTAAGAATGAGGACATCGTCTCTTCCATAAAGAGTTTGAAGTTCTGTCATGCATACCTCTTCCAGACTTATTTCCCACATACAGATATTTTGACATTTTATCCACATATGTTGATAGCTGCAAAGGAACACCTGGACATAATCCTAGAGGAAAGGATAGCTTGGAATCAGCTGGGGGGCACGACTTGTGTCCATCACTGATGAAACCCAGAAACTCTCTGTGGAGGCCACAAAAGTAAGAACTGCTGGTGTCACTGAAGAAGTTGAAAAACAACTTGTAGTATGAGAAGGTAATAGATGCTAATAGTCAGATAAGAGATTTCAGATATACACACACCCAGCTTGCCATTAAATTATCCATCGTGACAGGAAAAAAAAACTCAAACAGCCTTAAAACAAGCCAGTTATTTGTAAGACTCTGAGAGGAAATTTATAATCCCTGTAGTTTC